CTCTCTTTTACGGGACTGTCTTTTTATTTATGCTTATTTTGTTCTTACCCTTCTGCACCTTACACGTCGAGAAATATTCGTCTGTTCCCTTGTCAACCCTCGACAGACAATAAATAACCATTGGGTTGAAACTGTATATAGTGCGGTCAAAAATTCGTGCTGCAACTTATTTTCAAATATCTTCTCAACTATCGAACATAGGTTCTCCAATTTTTGCTCGGTAACTTGTATCAATTTGTCTTAACACATCAACATTTTTTTAAACACCTGCAAGCTGTATTCTAGAAAATTCCTTAATAAATACTAATTAAAAATCCAAGTGAGTGGTTTCTGCAGATCTTGAAGTGTTTACAGCTGGGGCAATCTTGCTTTTAATAGCAAGTCCGTCAGATTTTTCTATTCGGGACATTGTGCTTATTGAACGCATGTTTTGAGAGCAATTAGTGCAGAAATGTGTTCACTATAACAATAATTTCTTGTAACAAGTTGTGCAAGTAAAAATTGTCATTGATGAGCTGTGACGTAGGCCATATACGTAATCTAAATGTGTGTGGGAAGCGAAAGTGCTGTGAACAGTACCATTTTACGTGTGACAGAGATTTCAAGTGTTTTATATAAATCTATGAAGAAAAGTTCTAGCCCCAAGTGTTCTGGAAAAATATGATTTAATTAAAACAAATTGATACAAACTGCTATGCAAAGTATGGATGACATTGATTAGCCGGTTAAAGAGATATTTGAGGATAAGTTGCACCACGATTTTTTGACCCGCACTATAGAATACGAAATATCGTATCAGACATCGAACCTGAGATAATTAGCTTGATCAAATTGTCACATGAAGGTTCTGGTAGGCTTCAGAAATACAGCTATCTGTATGCATAACCTTATTTTGGTTGGATTTCTGAGTCCTTGGAAGGATAGTTCTTGGATTTTCATAGTTTTTTTTTGTAGGTGATGAACAGCGCTCGCAAGTGCGTAAGGTCATATGAGCTCGTAGAGTATTATTCTAGGGCTAGCTTTCTCGTCGAACATTCTCCAAATTGTCGTTCCTTTTAGTATTATGGTCAATAAAGTACAAATAATTTGCTTCAAAGAAATTTGAATTCGAACTTATGACAATGAGCTTGAACTAAAAACCATTAAATTGTGACTTTCCGCACATGTTGAATAAAAAGCAACAAATCCTTCACTGTTTTTTACTGCACGGCTGGACAAGAGTCACGGACATGTTGTGGATTTCATGTTTCGTTCTTCGTTTTCTTCTGTTCTTTTTTCTTTTTAGGTCACCTGGGAGAAGTATCGTTACTGTTTCCAAAATACCTCTGCTTCGAAATAGTACAAGAGGAAGTGACCAGCTTTTCAGGGTCTCTCTGATGTTGTGAACGGTCTGCACATATCTTGGAGTTCGTTTCAACACATCGAAATGTTTTCTAACCATACTAGTGTTGAACTGAGTCAAACAAGGGCAAGTTTGCCTGTAGTATGTTGGTTCAGAAAATATTCTAACAACGATGGCCTTTAACCCCTGACCTCATTTATCCGGCCTCATTTAGTCTCTGTTACAAACACACTGTAGAATGCAGGAAAAGGGGGTTCAAGCTGGCAGAAGATATTCGGAGACTCCCGCACACAGATGCACTGCTAGGTGGTCTAACTGCGTATTGTTTGCTGCAGATCACACATATAGCCCCTAAAACTGTCGCAAATCAATTAGGTTTAAGAAAATTAAAAACCTAACTGCAAAATATCAAATTATGGGTTAAAACAGGGGTGTGTGCCCCCCTGTAACCCC